CTGCCCTTCAGGTGGGGGGCTGGACTCGATGATCTTCCGACGTCCCTTACAGCCCTAACGTCTATGAAATTTATGAAACCTCTCCAGCTTCTCTGTGTCCCTCTTGAAGTGTGGCTCCCAAAACGACACAGTGCTCCAACTGTGGCCTGACCAATGCCGCATAGAGGGGGAGCATCACCTCCCTTGATCTGTTGGTCATGCATCTGCCAATACATGACAAGGTGCGATTGGCTTTGTTGATGGCATCATTACACTGCCGGCTCATGTTCATCCTGGAGTCCACTATGACTCCAAGGTCTTTCTCAGCCTCTGTGCTGTTGAGGTCATCCCCCAACCTGTAGGTGTGCTGGGGATTCCTCCTTCCTAGGTGGAGTACCTTACATTTATCGTTGTTGAATTGCATCCTATTTTGTTCCACTCATTGATTCAACTTGTCCAGGTTGGCCTGTATCTGCTCCCTGCCCCCCGGTGTGTTAACTCTGCCCCATAATTTGATATCATCTATGAACTTGGAGAGGGTGCTCTCCATTCCCTTGTCCAAATCGCTGATGAAGATATTAAATAACAGCAGTCCAAGGACCAAACCCTGCAGGACCCCACTGCCCACCTCCTTCCAGGCTGAGAATGACCCGTCCACCACCACTCTCTGGCTGCAGTCCCTAAGCCAGTTAGCCACCCGCCTGACTGTGTAGGTGTCCACTTAGGTTATTCTTGGGATTGTAAGGAGGCCAACAGGACCAATCACCCTGGCCATAACTGATGTGTAGAATAGTGGTGAGTACAATTCTGGAGGCACCATCTTCATCATTCTTTTTACAAAACAGTAGGACTTAACCCGTTACTGAAACACAGGAGTCACAAAAGACTCTTTAGGCTAAGTACAGACAATCAAGAAGCCCGAGGATGAATCAATTCAATCTTTGCATGCTAGTCTACACTGCATAAATTGAACTGAGAAGCAAGTGAACAGACGTTCACTTGATTCTGGAAATATAGCCACATGTCTGCAGTGGCTCAGCCAGAAGCTGAGGGGTGCTAGAGCAAGCTCTCCCTTTCCTTCAGTAGTGGCTGGAAGGCTGGAGGGAAGCTGGGAGAGAAGCTCTCCAGGCTTTTCCTCCCCATCCCTGCTCAAGCTAAACTGGGGAGGTGGGTGGCGTGGCCAGGCCTGCTGAGTATGACTGGGGGTTTAAAGGTACCAGTAGGTATCCCGGCCTGCACAGACCCCAGCCAAGGGTGTGTGGGGGGGAGAAGCTCCCACCAGGCTTTTCTCCTGCTCCCTGCTGAAGTGGGGGTGGAGGAGATGGCCAGATCCCAGCCAGGGCCAGCATGATGAGGTGGAAGGGAGGGGATGGAAGGATATTTAAAACCCTTCCCCTGCCCACACAACACCCCAGCTGTGGTCTGCTTGCAGAGACACAGCAGCCCCTGCCTGGCTTTTCTCTGTTGACTGCTCTAGTAGCCTGCACACTGAGGTGGACGTGAGGGAGGAGGATTTAAATCCTCTCTTCCTGGGGTTTGCCTGACAGTGTCACAGCAGCCCCTGCCAGGCTTTTCCCTACTTGCCACTCCAGCAGGGGTAGGGAGTAGGCAGATGCTAGCCCAGGGCCAGTGTCTGGCCACGCCCCCTGCTCCTGCAGCTTGACCAGCGAGTGGGGAAAAGTTTGTCAGGGCTACCCTGTCCCTGCCAGGCAGACCCCAGCATCCTGCCAGCCTGGCCCAGGGTCTGACCACCCCCGTCCTCTGCTCCAGCAGCAAGTGATGGAAAAGCCTGTGAGGGGCTGCTCTGCCTCTGCTTGGCAGACCCCGACTCGGGTCCAGAGCCGGGGTTCCCGCCCCCAGCACCATCCCCTTCTTAGCCAGCCGGCTAAGAAGCTTAGAAGTAGTAGTGCTCTGGCTAGGGACCGGAGCCAACCATACTCCCCTGAAGCAGACAGCCCAGCCCAGCCCAGCCCAGGGCTCCAAAGCATCCTGGGATACTCAAGGACTCATTTAACTTGAACCAGGAAGGGGGCTGGGACAGAAGTTTTATAAGCTGGTTTGACCTAAATCAGTTATGTCTGATACTACATTCAACCAGGTTTATCTTAAACTACTTTAGCAATTTTGGAAGTGATTTATATGCACTGAAGTTCTGTACCAGGTTTAAACCAGTTTCTGATTACTTAAACCAGCTTGTGCAACTTCTGTCCCTAGCTTTAGGGAACAAACAGGAGAAAGAACCTGGTCATGTTTCATCAGGAGTGTGACCTAAGGTATAAGCAAATCTTGTTTTGAGAACAGTAGTATGAAGGCACAACAACAGACTGCTGGTTAAAGCATTCCTAGCTCTGGTCCACAAGGTGCATGTGCACTGTAAATGGAACACACAGACAGACACTTGAAGAAACTTTTGTTATTCCACATACTGCCTGTTTCTTTTGTTATGTTCCTTTTGACTGGAAGACATGCATTTAAAATACTTTTTCTCTCAAAATGGCCTCCATCTTCAAATTGAGTAAAAAAAAAAGTATTTTGACTTGAAATTAGTATGCAGGGTGCAGTGCAAGGGCTGTACAGCTCCCAGACATTCAGAAGTTGGATAACCCTGGTGAAAGTATTAAGGATGTAGTTTGCTATATTTTACAGTATCTATTTATAAAAGTGGCTTGGTTACTTATCCTAGATTTAAAAGAAGTGAATGTCAAGTTACTCCCGTCTCAAGTTCTTTGTAGTTTTCATGCTTTCTACTTAATTTTTTACACATCTAATAAATTATGTATTTGAATTATACTAATTTAGTTAAAATACTTAACATTACTTCATTCACACCTTGTAAAAGTTTAACTGCACACTAGTATTTTAACGTTGACATTTAAGATACGGTTTTTTCTTAACTATAATGGGCTGCTATGTAACCTTTTCATATTAGAGAAAAGAATTACTGAAGGAAGTTTATTTCTTTCTTATTAACAGACATGACTGTGACTGTGAAGAAAAAAAAACCTGGAAGCCCTGCAGTAACACTTCTTATTGAGAAACCTCAAGCACAAATATCAGTGGATATAATCTTGGCTTTGGAGTATCGAAGTCAGAGCTGGCCCAGATCTACAGAGCATGGCTTAAACATTGACCAGTGGCTTGGGAAAAAAGTCAAACAGGCCTTTAAACAGAACCCACTATACCTAGTACCCAAACATGCCAAAAATGAAAGGGTGATAAAAGGTAATCAAAACAAAAGCACTAAGGACAGTGGTAGACGTTAATTTAGTGGCATGATTGAATCAGATCCAAGTTCCCAAAAATCGTGGTGCCCACCTACATCATATATGCATGGCAGCATGCATGATTTTTAGGATCAGGGACTGATCCAAATCATAACTGCCAATGCAGAGCTCAGCAGCAGGAACTGGTCCCTGATACTTCATTTTTTGTCATACCCTTTCAACTTGCTGGTGTGTGGAGCCTGGGATCCCAGGAGTTAAAATGTGCAGTTGGGGTGGGGTCCCCCAGCTCAGGAAGTTGCACAGGGCTGTCTCATACATGGGTTGATAGATTCAGCACAAGGGGGACTGATGCCCTTCCCTACTACCTCCAGTAAAGAGGTTTAAACCTGTGCATTGAGCTGCACTGCTCAGTTTTGACATGCCACACATACAAACCAGCCACAAAGATGTTCCGTATTAGATGTGGAACACATCTTTGCAGCTGGTTTGCCACTTTATGGCATCAATTGCTTGAATGTGTGGCATATTACTATTTGTGTGGCACAATTAAGACATTAATGTAACATCTACCAGGGGCCTAAGTTACCTTTTTGTAAAATGTCTTATGTTAGCTTTGTATCTAGCAAGAACTCTATATTGTTCTTATGTTATGGAAAGAAGATTAGTTCTGCAAGGAATACTGGATCCGTCTCTTAATCTCAATTTGGCTACCTCTGGATGGAAGTCATTTGGGTAATCCCTACAGTGCATATATATCCCCCTGATAAGAGTGCTCTGGTACTTAATGGCCATATATGTTTAGGAGGCATTATTTGTTCCCCATTATATTCTCAACAGAAATCTGTTGAATGAAGGAAAACATGCATCTGCATATATAGAGCACGCATAACGAGCAATATATACATTAACATGGAAAAGTCATGGCCAAGTGTTAGCGCTAGAAAAATAACGTAGTTTAAACCTATTAAATATTTTTAGCAGTTCTTTTGCTTTTTAGAGCGAAGTGAATGCCTTGGAATAGAACTATTCAAAAGTGTGCCCTTGCTGCAAAGAAGGCTAACAGCATACTGGGCTGCATTAGTAGGACTGTTGCCATCAGCTTGATGGAAGTGATTCTTACCCTCTATTTGGCCCTGGTGGAGGCCACACCTGGAGCACTGTGGTCAGTCTTGGACCCCCACACTACAGAAAGAATGTGGAATATTTCAGTAATAAGGGTGAAAGACTTATGTGTATATATTGTAATCCCCTCTCCTCTCCCCCAAATCACACATTAGACATTCTGGACACTTGTTAAACTTACACTTGAAAGAAATCCAAACATATTAAAGTATGTTAATTCAGTTAGGATCCCCAAACAATTTCAACTCTGCCCTGTAATGACAACATGTAAAAGTCACATGATTGTGGCATTTTAACATTTGCAGACTTAATTGAATTTTGAATCAGACAATAATTGCATGTATTCCAAATACATTCACTTTGGGAATACTTAAAGTAGCAGTATAATTACAGGGAAAAGTCATACACAGGTAAGAATTAAAGTTTGTTCATTTGTTTTTAATTTAGCAAGCACCTGGCGGCTCTCTTTTTCACATATTGAAAAGGACATTATAAAGAATCATGGGAACACAAAAACTTGCTGTGAATATGGTGAAGTAAAATGTTGTAGGTCAGTATCTCATGACACCTTTGTTCTTTAGCTTATTTTAAGTCATTATGCTTAGTCCTGCAAGTATTTTAGTTTTCTAATTACAAATTTAGAAAATCTTTTGCAAGACAGAACAGGATTCCGTAGGTATAACAGAGTATTTTTAAGACTCCCCAGAGGCAGTGTGTGTTGGCTACAGCCAAGGCTGGGGACTTTGACTGGGCTGTGCCAGTGCTCCTCCTGGGACCAAAGCCAGAGGTTCCAGGCTAGAGGGCCTTGCCTCTCCACTCAGGATCAGACTGATCTGGGGTCAGGAAGGAGTTGGGATCAGATTGGTATGGACTCTGGGAGTTTTTGCCTTCCACTATCACAGGGGGTAGGGCCCTCTGCCCGGGACTTCTTGAGCATATATTGTCAGTATTTTATAGAAGCAGGACATTGGCTGTCATGGTTCCCCTGCTTTACCTGTGGCAAGTTAGGGTGTTCTGTGTTGTGTCAAGGCTGATGGCAGTCTTATGTAGAGTTTAGATTATGGTTTGTATGGGAAGGTTTGGATATGAATGATCCTGCCTCAGTCACAGGGTTGGACTAGATGACCTCTGGAGTTCCTTTACAGCTCTACTTCTCTATGACCGATTTCTGAAACTATCTGCAAAGCACTTTGATCCTGAAAACATCTTTCTGTTTTAGTCAAGTAAATATAATCTTCTACAGCACAAAGTGCACTTGACTTCCATTTAGTCAGTATGAGATGGAGGCACACTATATAGACCAGGTTGAGGCCACATATTTGCATTATGAAATAAATAATATGATTATTTTAATACCTATGCGAGTCATTTAAAAAATTGCTTCCTGGTAAAAGGGTTATGGCTGAGAAGTGATGATTCAACCTTTATGAGTTTTAACAGCTGTGTATTCTAGACATTGGGTACAAGTTAAAATTACTTTTTGAGGCACTTAAAAGTGTGGGCAATTAGGTAAAGAGCGTTTTGACATTCTATTGTCTAAGAAACTGACTTTTTAGATTAATTCATTTTGCATTCTTCATAGGAAGAGAATGGGAACCAAAGCATGTGATTAAGATTTGTGTGTAAGAGATAAAAGGTTAACTTCTACAGTTTACCTTGTGCTTCTCTCAGTTCTCTTGACCCAAATCATAATATCATTAGGAAAATCACTGCCTTTGCCTTAAAAGTGTTATTTTTAACCTTGTGGCCAGATTTCCCATTCCAAAAGACCTCACCCATTCTAGGGGATATTCACTCCACAGGAATGTTTCAACATTTCCCCTCACTATCAGGGAAGGATAGCTTTTGCCACCAAGTTTCTGCTACTATTGCAGTTTTCTTGGCTACACAGTCCCTTAATTTTAGGATTACCTAAATTTCAACATGGGAATCTTTGCAATAAACGTGGTGTGTAAGATGCACCTGCATTTTCACATTTTATATAAAAAATTACTGGCAAGATTTGTTAATTCACTTTTTCAGGGTGGTATCAAATAACTCATAAAATTAATTAAAAAGTACAGAATTTTTACATTTTCGGAAAGACTTGCTTAGACCAAATAAGGTATTTTTAAAAATACTTTTTATTCAACAGGAAAGAGTGTCTTAAACTTCTGAAGCATCTTCTGGAACAGCTTAAAGCAAAGTACAAAAGCAGAAGAGAGCTGGATAAATTCTGTTCCTATCATGCCAAAACTGCCTTCTTCCACATGTGCGCTCGCTGGCCAGAAGACAAGGACTGGCAGTCTAAAGATCTTGATCATTGTTTTTATGAATTTGTGGATTATTTTCTGGATTGTCTCCAAAAGTCAGACCTTCCTCACTTTTTTATTCCTAAACACAACCTGTTCAGTCCTGACCTGGTTGATACAGCAAGCACTAACTTCCTTTCAAGGGCAATTAAATATGAATTAAATAATAATTTCCCAATATTTGAACTGGAGAACTAAAGAGGCCATACCATTTTTCTTAGGTTTTAATTCAAATTTTATAAATCTGAATATTTAAAAGGGGGTCAATAAATGACATTTGTATATTTAAGTCTATACTACTCAGGAGGGAAGGACTATAAACAGAAGGGCAGGACATCCTTCCAGGTACACTGAAAGCATAGATAATAGCTAATTTTACCCATTCCAAACTCCTTCCTATTATTCTGCATATAAAGGCATCATCTGGTCACCCAGTCAGTAAAGCAAGAATATAAGGATTCAGTTATGGAAGTGACCATAAATGACTGGTGTCTCCTGAGACTGGGGGGGAGGAGGGGGGCACCATTTGTAGTCAGCAGCAAACAGGCACCGCCCACAGAAGCTGGAGGTGGTGGTGAGCGGTGACCACACGAAGTAGCCAGTAGTGGCCAATCTCGGGGGGGCCATATTCCCCCCCACCCGTGCCCCCCCTAGGCGCTGCCTATGGAAGTTTCTTAAACAGAACTAGACAAATGGCCAAAATATGCACTTACACTGGTGCAAATCTGAAGTTAGTGGAATTATACCAGCCTGAAATGGGACACAATGCTGATTATTTAGGATTTGTTTCTTAATGGTTATTCTTTACATCAACAGACAGAATATGGCTACTGACGTTATGAAGAACTCCCCAGATAACTGCCTTTATTTCCTTATGTAAGAGGCAAGGATTTCTTGGGGTGGCATCCTGTATTGGAACAACTATGTAGCTGGAATAAAGTTACACAAGATTTTGAATGCAGAACACTTCACTTGCTGACTAAAAAAGAAATCACCCTAAGAAATCCTAGACTCGCATAATTTCTGGACCATTACAGCTATATCACTTTAAAATACCTCTGGAAATGTATAACGAAATAAAGATGCAATTGGAGAAGTCTCCACAATCACAAAGCTTTTTAATTAACCTTAACTACAATTACAGAATACAGAGTTGGGAGAAGTGCAGTGTCTGAAGCTGAAAAAAAGATGATGAACTTTGATACCACCAATGAGCAATACCACACTGAAGATAACTACTTTGTTTGGAATCCAGATTAAGAGCAAGCACCCATGAATGCTCAGTTCATCATCTATGCAGTTTGATTCTATCCTGTACCCTGTGGCTCTCCCTGTGCAACTTAACTACAGGAATCCGTATTGCAAAAATGTTAGCAATGTTCATATTTTGCAGTGGTATAACAATATTAAAATTGAAGTAGATATCTTTCTGTTTTAGCTATCTTGAAGAGGAACACCTGCTTTATAAAACTGAAGGTAAATGAAAGTTCTTAAGTACTAAAGATTCTGATGCATCATAAAAGATGTGCTTAAAGATAACTCTACTATTCTCAAATTATATTTCCCAGCACACAGGAAAGCTTCCTTGTGGAGGATGCTAGCACAACTAATTTTAAAATGCTAACCAAACAGTTCTCCCACAGCATCTCAGGAAATCAAGGGTGTCATTTGGGGGGCCTCAGCTGCCTGTACACCAGGGGCAGGCAATTATTTTGGGCAGAGGGCCGCTTACTGAGTTTTGGGAAGATGAAGGGCCGCAAGACAGGCAGCACAGACCAGATAAACATTAATTTTCTAAATTTTTTAGGGGCCCCACGGGCCAGATAGAATGGCCTGGCAGGCTGCATCCGGCCTTCAGGCAGCATTTTGCCCACCCTGCTGTACACCAATGCCAGGAGCATGGGGAACAAGCAGGAGGAGCTAGCCCTCCTGCTCTATAGTGGGCAATATGACCTGGTATGGATCACGGAGACCTGGTGGGACTGCTCGCATGACTGGAGCATAGCCATAGAGGGCTACACTCTGCACAGAAGGGACAGAGTAGGAAGAAAAGGCGGAGAAGTAGTTCTCTATGTGAAAGAGCAGTACACCTCTCTGGAGGCTGACATTGGCTCCAGAGATAAGCACCTGGAAACCCTCTGGGTCAAGCTATGGGAGCGGGGGGAAGAGGGGGGTGACGTAAGAGAAACCAAACTGTAGGCATTTACTACAGACCACTAGACCACGAGGAGGAGCTGGATCTGGAGTTCTCTCAAGAACTGACAGAGGGACTTGGTTGTTATGAGTGACTTCAATTACCCAGACAGATTGGGAGGAACACCTGGCTAGGTCAGATCATTCACACGGTTTCCTGACTGATCAAGGTGCTCTTTCTGACCCAGGAAATGCAAGGGCCAACCAGAGGTAACACTCTCCTAGTCCTGGTCTTGACCAAGGGAGATTATCAAAACAGCAAAAAAAGCCCAGTTAGGCTCTGGAGCGGTGAGAGACACACGGGTGAAAGCCTGCTGTACCCCCGCTCCCCCAAAACCCCCCAGACAGCCCCCAGCAGCTGCAGAGCCCTCTGCTGACCCCCAGCACAGCCGGAGGCAAGCGGGGCTCATGGTGGGAAGGGGTTAAGCCCTGAGTGGGAGGAAGTGGCTGCGTGGAGCCAGGCTGGGTCAAGCCCCCACCCAGGCCCCTACTTGGCCCAGCTCCCAGAGAGCCACACGACCGAAGCTGCGCAAACAGGTGCGCTTGTCTGCCAGTGCGCGAGCGCAGAGTTCGCGCAAGAGGGCCCGAGACCCTGCCTGTGAACCCCCCAGAGTAGACAGTCCTAGCTGTAGCCAGCCTACCAGAGGCATGACACGGATGGGCACACGCCGCACCCCAAGGGTCCCCTCGGGCTCTGCGACCCCCAGGTACCTCAGAGACAGCCACCCAGACAGAGCCCATCGTTCTGGGCTCCACGCAGACGGAGCCCCTGGCTCTCGGCTGCGGGGGCTGCCTGTCCCTTTTTCAGGCTCTGGGGCCCGGGAGCATGGCCACCGCCCTGTGTGGGGGTCTGCTCCCTTTTGGGGTCTCTGGCGTGCCAGCTGGAGGAGCTCCAGGCCACAGTCCAGAGACTACGTGCCATCAGGGACTGTGAGCAGGAGTTCGACTGCTACTGTCAGACACTTATCACCTGGGAGCCGGAGGGTAGACCACCGTCTCCCTCCAGGACAAAGGAGGACTCCAGGACCTCCCACTGTCCAGTCAGGGGCATGGACCAAGGTGGTCGCGGGCCCTAAGGCCCGCCGCACCAAGCACCAAGCCCCCTGCCCCGCCGGAGCTTAGCAACAGGTACACACCTCTTGCTGCTCCAGCAGAGCCTGCGGAGTTCCCAGCTCCCACAGGCAACACGGGCTCAACTGCAGCTACCGTCCCCGCTCTCCCCAAGACCAAACGTAAGGTGTTTGTTGTGGGAGACTCCATCCTTAGGGGGACTGAGGGGGCAATCTGCCGCTCCGACCCCTTAG